CCGCATTGGCTTCACCAGCCTCTCCAAGGGCCTCGTTAGCTTGGCCCCGGTGCCCTGCTAACCACAGCATGTGCAGCCAAGGCTAGTAGCTGGTTATCTTGAGAGCCCATGCTCATGGCTGCCTGCAGAACTGGCTCCATGGCCACTCCAACCATCCCCAGGCCCCTCAGCAGATGCAGGCGCGGATGCAGGCATGCCGTGCGGGTGCCTCAGTTTCCCCAGAGGGCAGAGAGGATGTGGCTGGCTCCCCTCCTCCTGATGGTGTCAGGTCCACTTAGCTCGGACAGTCTCTGGAAGAGGAGCTGTCATGCAGTGTGTGTTTGCTCCACGCCCCAGGGCTGCAGATCCTGCCTTGTGCCTCCCAGCACCACAGCCCCGTAAACATTAATGGCAACGGTAATCGGAGGAGACTTCTCCCAGCTCCTGGCGCTGGGAGAGCCAGTGAGTGGGGATGAGGACTCCTGCACGCTGCCTCGCAGCTAAGTGCCCACTGCCTACAGCCCCCTGTCCTCTCCCCTGTGCTGGACAAGGTGCCCCAGGCTTGACTTCACACAGCCAGCCCTCACTCATGCTGCCTCCCTACAGCAAATTCAGCGGGGAGCTCTCAAAATCCTGCATTGGCTTTCTGCCGAGGAGAAGCCGGCACAGACCTGAGCCCCTCACTTGCCCTGGGGAGAGCGGGTGGGGGGTACCAAGCCTCCTCCTCCTCCACTGAGATCCTCCTCTGCGGACCCCTGCAGCAATGGCTTTGCACAGCAGCTCCTAGCCATTACTAAACTGTGATTAATACAAATAAATGAGATGAGCCAGCCACAATAGGGTGGACGGAAACCTGAAAAACATATCCGCTGGGAATCATTTCTTCTGCGCTTTTCTCTTTTTTTAATACTATTTTCTTCCTCGCAAATTAATCACAGATTGCCTAGGACCAGAGACGACTCTGGGGCTCGGCCCGGTGGCCCCAGGGGACAGGGCAGAGGCAGCCGAGCAGCCCGAGTCCCCCCTCTCCCTGGCAGCCACTGCAGCTCTCCACATCACGCAGACATGACTGTCCATCTTGCCTTCTCCAAGGAGCTTACCTGCCCCTACCGAGGGACAGGATCGCCCACCCACTGAGCCTCTGGGAAGGGCAAGCACAGGCGTCCCAGCAGGAGGGCTAAGCCCCCCGGGGTCTGTGTCCCAGCCTGCCTGCGAGCCGGCCCTGAGCTGCGGCCCCGGGGCACACACCTCCAGGCCAGGCAGGGGAAGGAAGGAGCCTGGCTGATCCCAGCCGCTCCCTCCCACTCAGACGGGCAGTACCTCCAGGGCATCCCTCAGCCCCAGCACGTCCCTCGATCCCAGCACGTCCTTTGTTCCCGGAGCACCCCTCAGCCCTGCACATCCTTTGGTCCCAGCACAGCCAT